CTAAAGCTCAGGCTCCTTTATCTTTGAGGTCTATGTGGGCTTCTGAGATCCATAAAACCCCTGTACGATAAACATTTTCCTGAGAGGAGGTAGTGCCTTCATCAGGTTCTCCCAAAGGGGAGGAGAATCAAAGCTACAGCTGAAGACTGGATCATTAGAAATCCATTCACTGTTGTCTCATCAAAACCAGAATACAGCAACTGTTGCGACTGTTTGACAGTTTACTCTGCCAGGTGCTATGCTAGGCACTTCCCTGGACTCTCTCTGATCCTCCCCAAAACTCTGAAATGTAAACATCATCTTTTCTATTTTGTAGCTATGAGAACTGAGGCTGGAGTGAAGTGACCTGCCCAATGATACATATTACTTATATGTTTGCAAAAGCCAGTATTCACATCAGATCTGCTACACCAAAGCCTGTGCTTTTGCCCCTAGACCATGTCTGCTGTAATATCAAGTTGCTCAACTTCTGCTCCAAACAAGCAAAGCTTGAAATACCAGACTGAATAGGAAATGAAAGTGAAATCCAAAGGCCCGGCTTTTTTTTTTTTTTTTTAAACAATCCCTTCTAACCAATGAAAACTCCTTGTAAAGGTGACAGTACTGCCCTTAAACGACGCACTTTACCTTCTAGAGGTGTGGCCTTCTTGTAGGTTTTCTCAAACAGGAGTTATCTAACCACAAACCGTCTGTCATTACACTGCAATTCAGAGGATATCTCTGATTGGCTGACCAAGAAAGCAACATTTGAATTTAAAGAAGAAACCAAAACAACCAAGTTACTTCAGTGAGAAAGATAAAGCTTTGTTGTCTGAGAAAACTCCAACTGGAGTCAAAAGATTAGGCACTAAAACCTGTCCTAGCAAAACCATTATCCTTATTTCAGTAGTTGGCATTATTACTATTAATTTCTTTATGAAGAAACCAGCCCCTATTTTAAGTAAAAGATAAATGAAAAGATGTGAAAGCATGTGAATTTGCTTTATAAACTACAAAGGTTTGCAAAAAAAAAAATATTAGTAACTATAAATATTTGGTTTAAAAGAGTTAATCTCTTAAATAGGAAGTAAAATTTGCCTGCCCACAAAAGGTATACCAGGGCAGGTGACAGTGAGAGGAGTGGCCACAGTTCCTGCTGCCTACTTTCCTAATCATTGATCCCTTACAGACAGGGATTCCTCTCCCATACAGTATTTCTCCGCTGTTCTCTGGGGCCACTAAGTGGACTGTACCCTCAGGCACGCATTAACAAAACCTACAAAGGAAAATGGTGGGCCACTCAGATGCCTTCATTCTAGAAAAGAAACCATGGCCTCACATTATCAACTGGAACACTGCATTCTCTTAGTACATTTAATATACCTGAGTGTGGAAAGCATACTCAGCTGAATGAAGGATAAATGAAAAATAATTTAATTCAAGCAATGTTTTTCTTGTATAGAAGCAAATATAGCAAGACAGTGAAAACTAAAATTTTATAGAATTTGAAATGCTGCAATTCCTATAATTCAATCACCTTTCCCTCACCAATAGCTTCTATTTCAGAGTATCACTTAACAGAGAAGCCTGAAAAATATATTCTTTCATTTCATACCCTCTATTTTATGTTCATGAAATAAAGCACTACAGTACCACTCAAAGCAGCAATGTAAAATTTTCAGGATTTTTTGTTGAAACTCACTTTATTAAAAAAAAAGAAAGAAACTGTCATGAACAATAAATTACAATCATTTCCCCCTTTTATAAATTCTTCATAAAATATATTTGACAATTTAAAAAGAAAATTTCAAAAGTTGCTTTCATTTCTGAAGTGCTGATGACTTATTTTTTTGACCATTTTGTCATGCTGGTGAATTATTTTGTAGCTGCTACAATAGTTTGATAACATTTTACAATTAAAAACAACAAAGAAAAAAAAAAAAAAAAACAGACCAGCAGAAGGAACTATTCTGTGTGCTATTTATCTGACACTTAACATTTACTCCATCATAATGATGCAGTATCCCTTAGCACCACAAATCTACAGGAACCCCATCTTTCTAAGTGACAACTAGTGCAAAATAACATTCTAGGAACTAACTGTACAAACCCTATATTTTACTGGACACAGCTGCCTATAAGCTTATTTGAATATTTGGTCTTTTCAATTAAGACAAATTTCATAAAACACTATATAAACCATGGCAAGAGACTATGAAGAATAATTGTTTATTGAGTACCTATTATGGGCAAGGCACTGTGCATGCGTTCTTGATTTCATTCTTCCCCTAGCAAGTATCTGGGAATTTCCAAGTATCACCAATCTTCTTGTATTTTTATATTTGGCTGGTAAAGACCTGTGGCTAAATGCCATTTTTAAATTAACATTTTCATCAATTGATTTCTAGTGCTGAGCACAAAGTAGGTACTTAATAATACCTCTGACTGAAAGAACAAAGGAAGATGAAGAATTTATTATCCTTTTGGTTATTTTAGAATACAAGGAATTGAGAAAATTCCAGAAGAAACTTCTAATCACCTCATACCCTTATCCTCAGTGAAAGAAAAAAAAAATATTTCACAAGTAAAATCTTTCAAAATAAACAATAATCAGGGCTGGGGATGTAGCTCAGTGGTAAAGCGCCTGTGTAGTATGTAAGAGACCCTGGGTTCAACTCCAAGCACCACAAAAAACACAAAACAAAAACAAATTATAATCATTAACTATTTTAAACGAGGCAGGACCAAAAACCATATACTTTGGAAACTCTGGCTCCAAGTACACGATATATAAAGAGCAAATTAAGTGCAAGATATTACCCACCTATCTGATGAGGTGCCGCACTATTCATGAAGCACCATAATGTGCTTTTTCTTACTTCCAGCAACTCAATTCCTTTGGTCAGATCTGTTAAAACTAATTTGGTGAATCAGAGGGTCAATTACCATGAAGTTCCAGTGTTTGCCACTTCTATTTTCCAAAAGAATTCTTATATTTAATAGCTCGAAAATGATGTTAGATATATAGGACTTTTTTCATTTTAAGGTTTTATTTCAATAAAACCTTCAGTCCGAATTTTAAACTTCCAGATTAAGTAACACACTGTCTAAAAAATTTACATACTCCAATTTGTTTTTACCTTCAATTATCCTCTGAACACATTTTATTTATTAATTATTTGTTTATTTGAACAGGGGCTCACTCTGTGGTTCAGGCTGATGCTGAACTCTCTATGTAATCCAGGTTGGCCTTGTACTCGCAGCAATCCTCCTGCCTCACCCTTCTAAGTGCTGGGATTACAGGTGTGTGCCACCATGCCTGGCCTCTGAACACATTTTAATTTTTTTGGTTTTTTGGTACTGGGAATCGAACTCAGGACCTTGTGCTTGCCAGGCAGGCACTGTGCCACCGAGCTATATCCCAGCAACCTCTGACTACATTTTTTTTTCCTGACTACATTTTAAATGGGGAATAAATGATAGTAACATTCTAAAAGTTGCGGAAGTTCAAAAAAACCCAACAACCCAAGGAGACTATGCAAATCATCAATAATTTCAATATTCTAGTACTATTTAGACTTTTTGGACTAGAGTGCTTTAGAAAGATTCTACTGCTTTAGAAAGATTAACCTAAATACAGTGTAAAGTCTATTTAACCTCAAAAGCTATTCTTTTGGGAAAGCATCCTTTCCTTAGATTTTAACTATCTGCATTTACAGAAAAACTGGAGACAACCACATAGTTAAAACTGAACTAACTTCAAGAGGAATGATAGTTGCTTGGTTTTTGACATAGTTCATATCAAGTGATTGTATAAAATCAGTAACTTTTCTATTGGAAAAGTAGTACTTTATCCACAGTATTTTATTTTATCCACTTGCCAAACTGTATATGTATCATCTTCCACTTTGAAAAAAGGTGATAATAGTTAAGACAACTATTATTACTATCATTACTATCTCAAAGGGACAGGGGAAAACAGCATTAGTGCCAAAACGAAAGGAACTCCAGTGCTTCAGCAAGAGAATACCAGGGCAGGAAACACTGGGGCAGAATGCATTTGGTTTCTTCAACTTTATGCTGAGGCTTAGACACAGTCTTAAAATAAAAAACTAATATATCAAGTACTATAGTTCATTTATAGCAAAATTTTCACAAACAGAAGAATGCCATTTCAGGTTTATATCAGAATACCAATGCTCAAGTACAGACATGTCAGCTGGGTGTGGTGGCACATGCCTGTACCCCTAGCACTCAGGAGGCTGAGGCAGGAGGACTGCCATGAGTGCGAGACCAGCCTGGACTACCCAGTGAGACCCTGTCTCAAAAAACTAAAAAAAAAAAAAAAAAAGAAAAAAAAAGTATAGACATGTCTCAGTGCAGTGGTTTAATTAACTAATGCTCAGTTACCTAAAGGTGTGACTGAGCTCACATGCTCGGTGTCCCTGCCAACCCACCACTATATGATTGCATAATTAACTCAGCCCTAACAGCCATAGGACACTGGTGAGTTCAAATATACTTCAGCAGCTTTGGATTGCTTAATTTTAATTATGTTTACTCATAATTTTAGCTCCTCCAAAATGATGGCTTCAAAAAACTGTATGCTAGTACAAAAAAAAAAAAAATCAAAAACAAAAACTTAGTATTTTTCATTAGAGGGGACAGGAAGGGAGATGAGGGGAGGTTTATTTATTTTTCATCACTGATTTCATCAGCAAATCTCAAAAACTCAAACCTGTAACAAATAATTTAAACAGAAGTGGCATTTTCTTCATCTGGAATGCAAAATGCACACATTCACATACTTACATATACATAAATATATACATATATGTTTCCTTTACAAAGCTTCAAAGGTTGCATTACCAGCACGCAAACCTCTTCTTCCATGGAAATGCCTAATACTGACAAGGAATGTCTAAAATACTTAAGAGACATTTTCAGAAAACTGGACTCTTTTCTTGGCTCTTTTCCTGCCAAACTACTACCAATGGTCATTGAAAAAAAAATTTTACACCTACATTGGTAATACACATTTAAAACATACTAACGAAATGGCTGGCTTAAATTCAGAAAAATAAAGAAAAAGAAAACAGCCCACAATAAAATCTAAACCCTTAGAACGTGGGGTTAGCTTTTTGTATTCTTTTTCAGCCACATGACGTTGCATCACTGTTAAATCAGAAGCAGCATGTCATCCAAGATATTTGCAAATAATATGTCACGTTTCCCAGCTACTATCTTTAAATGCAATTTGTACTAATCTGAGTTCTAATTCAAAAGCATCTGGGCGATCCTGAGGGTTTGCAGCGAGCATTTCCTTAATCAATTGTTTCATTCGCCCATTCATAGACTTTTTTTTCACAGGAATGAGAAGTTCCATTTTGGGATTTTCCAGAAGTGCCTCCCCAACAGGCACAATCTCAGTTCCTTGTTTTACATAACTCCCCAAGAGTTCCTTCTTTGTTTCTGTGTCTATGAATGTGATCCTTTCCAGCATGGCCCAGATGATGATCCCCAGAGCAAAGATGTCTGCTTTTGCTGTATAGTGTCCTTCCCACACTTCAGGAGCCATGTAGAAATCGGTTCCACAGGCGGTGGAAAGGAAACACTTGTTTACACTGACCGGTTCTTCTGGGTTTTGCCCAGAGGCTGAGCAAACTTTACTTAGACCAAAATCAGCCACTTTCAATGTGGGTTCCAAATCACTTGTATCCAACCTGCTTTGAGAAATCAGGATGTTATCAGGCTTCAGATCTCGGTGGATGATCTGGTTTTTATGCAAGAAAGCCAGGGCACTGCTCAGCTGAAGCATGAAGCTGGTGTTAGTTTTACGATTGGGTTTTCTGGACAGCAGATATTCATTCATATCGCCTCCGTCACAAAAATCCATCACAAACCACAAATAATAGGCGCTTCTGGGATCAAAGGCAATTTCTCCTTTTAATGAAGTCTCTACAAGCTATAAGGAAAAAAGAAACATTATAATCATCTGCGCAGGTCATACAATTTAGTTACAGAAAAATACCTGACTCAAAGGTTAAGTCAGTCCTTAGTTTTGTTTTGGTAGTGCTGGGGACAGAACCCAGGTCCTGCACATGCTAGGCAAGTGCTCTATCACTAAGCTATATCCCTAGCCCTAAATCTCTAATTTTAGGTAGAGACTCCATGAACATTTTATTCTGTCAGTATGTTCATATGTGCATTTTAAACGTTTGTACTTCAAACTGGCATTTTGTTCCTAATGAATATATACCCAATCTTCTAGTTAAGAGATAAAACTTTAAAAATAGATTTTAAAAAATGGCTAGCCCACAGTGCTGGCCTGGCAAGCGCAAGGTCTTGAGTTCAATCCCCAGTACCAAAAATAAAGATAAAAATAAAAAAATGTCTAGCCAAGTGTGGTGGAACACCCCTATCATCCCAACACAAAGAAGGCTGAGGCAGGAAGATCACTGTGAGTTCAAGGCTGGCCTGGGATACATAGTGAGTTCAAGGGCAGCCTAAACTGCAGAGTGAGACCCTGTGTCAAAAAAAAAAGCTTTGAGCAATACGGACACAATCAATATTTAAATAATGTTTTAGAAAAGGCCAGACAGTAAATATTTTAGGCTTTAGGCTTGACAAGCTACATAAGGTTTTTATTTTCATTCTTTCCTTTTTAAAATTAAAAAAACAAGTCTTGCCAGGTATGGTAGCACAAGCATGAGTCCCAGCACTTGGGAAACCTGAGGCAGAAGAGTCAATACAAGTTTGAGGCCAGCCTGGGCTATGTAGTTGAGGCAGCGGGGGTCAATACAAGTTTGAGGCCAGCCTGGGCTAGCCTGAACTATATAGCAAGACCCTGTCTCAAAAAACGAAAGTATAAAAACTATTTTCAGTACTCAGATCATATGAAAATAGCCATAGGTCTCTCATTTAAAGCTACAGAAATACAGTGTCCGATTTCTTTACTTTTGCTGTATAGGGAACATTAGCCATGCATATTATCTATGTATAGTCCAAGCTCTTTATGGGCTGTGGGACTTTGTGTGCCATGACTCCTGCTGACCCTTCCTGTCTCCTCTAAAACAGATCTCTGTATACTGCTGTCTTACTCTTCTTTCAATTCTTAAAATGCCTTATGTCTTTTGCTTTAAGATCTTTCTACATATACTTCTTTCTGCCTGCTTGTCACTTATCTAGCTAACAGCTGCCGAGTCTAAAAGTTTTAAACAGCTTATAATTCCTGAACTTCAGAATTACATCGGGTTCCCTATTACGTGCATCTGCACCATCCTGTAATTCTCATTCATGACACTTGTCACAAGTACGTAGACTGGAAACCAAATTCCAATACATGAGATTATGTCTTCTGCTAATTATTTGTTTGACACTGTCTCCTCAGTGAATTTTTTAGTTATCAGGAGAAGATTTAATGATTTCTACTGACAGTAAAGAAAAATATATCTGGGAAAACAGAGAAAATTACAAATTTTATAAAAAGAATGGAGAAGACCATGCATAGGGACTCTGGTCACACTATATATTTGTCTTTACTGATGTAAAGATTGGCTGTCTTTATCAAATTAGAAGAATTTAGAGACGGCACTTGCTAAATGTGTTTGTGAAATGTCTGGTCAACTGAATTCAATGAAAACACCATTTTAATGCAGGTACTTATTACTAAGTACATCCCATGTGCCAAGTATTGTTTCTACCTCACTTCTAATTTCCACAACTTCCATGGAAAGTAGAAATTGTTACCCATAATTTACCTATGAAGAAATAGATCCTCAGGAAAGTTGGGATTATTAATTCAAGTTTTTCTAACAGCTAAGAGTGCCAGAAGTCTACTACAGGTCTATCAGGATTTACAGGATGAAAAGGTTTACTAAACAAAAAGGCAATTTAAAAACACAACAAGGCCGGGCATGGTGGCACACGCCTGTAATCCCAACACTCGGGAGGCTGAGGCAGGAGGATTCTTGTGAGTTCAAGACCAGCCTGGGCTACAAAGTGAGCTCAAGGCCAGCCTGAACTGCATAGAGAGACCCTGTCTCCAAAAGATTTAAAAAAGAAACAAAACAAAACAACATTCTATCAGAATGCTGGGCATGGTGGTACACGTCTGTAACCCCAGTGCTCTGAAGGCTAAGCAGGAAAATCGCTAGTTTGAGGCCAGTCTGGGCTATAAGGAGGGATCCTGTCTCAAAAAAGGAAAAAAAGTTCATTGAATCAAGTCTGGTAGTACTTTACATCTCTGGAAAGCCAGATGTGCTGGCAAACATTTATAAATCCCAGCACTCTGGGAGGCCAAGGCAGGAAGATCTCAAGTTCAAGCCCTACCTGGGCTAAGCTGGAACTTTGCCATCTTCCTGTCTCAGCCTATGGAGCAGCTGTTGGTTTTTCTACTTTTAAGAGAGAGTATGAGCCAGATGCAGTGGTGAATGCCTATAGTCCTAGCACTTGGGAGGCGAAAGCAGGAGGGTCACAAGTTTCAGTCCTGTCCGGGCAACTGAGCATGACCCTGTTTCTCAAGATAAAAAATAAAAATAAAGCAGCCCACCAGGAGATGTGGCTCAGTGTGAAGGCCCTGGCTTCAATCCTCAATAACACACACACACACACACACACACACACAAATAAAACTTGAGGTATGGTGGCACATGTATGTAATCCCATCTAAAGCAGAATTACAAATCTGAGGGCTGGGGATTTAGCTCAGTGGCACAGCACCTGCCTGGTAAGCACGACATCATGAGTTCAATTTCCAGTACCCGGGGGAAAAATAACCAAACACACAAAGAAACAAAAAAAACAAAAAAAAAACCACACACACACAAAAAATTACAAATTTGAGGTCAGCCTGTCTCAAAATAAAAAAATAAAAAGGGCTGGTAACGTACCTTAGTGCTCCCTGGTAACACACACACACACACACACACACACACACACACACACGAGAGAACTTCAGTGCATATGGTGCTAAATTGCAATACAAATTCTTTCATTGTATAATGTCAAATCCAAGTCTCTAATTACACAGATTAATCTGTTTTTGCTATTGCTAGTCTAAAAGCTTTTATTTATTTATAATTTTTGAGATAGGGTCTTGCTATGTAGTTCAGGCTGGCCTTGAACTAGTGGCAACCCTCCTGCCTCAGCCTCCTGAATGCTGGGTTTATGGGTATGCATGTTTTAAACCATTGATGGTAACCTTTTAGAGCTTTCAGTGGTAACAAACAGCATGCTGCAGCATGTGTGCCATAAGTTCACCACTGTTTTAAACAATCTTTTAAATAGTAAAAGCCTGAAGGTCTGACGCTGACGGTAAATTCTGAATTTTGATAAACTCGAGGCTGTGTGTGGTGGCACACACCTGCAACTCCAGTACTTGGGAGGCCCAGGCAGGATTGCCTCAAGTTTAAGGTCAGCCCGGGCTACACAGTGAGCTCAAGGAGAGCATGAACTATATGAGCATGAACTATATAGTGAGACCTTGTCTCAAAAGCAACGACAGAAACAAAAATCCACTCAAGAAAAGGTGTTTACTTTTCCAAGAAGGACTGGTCTTAAATTCTGCTCTGGCCTTTCACTAGCTGTTTTAAGTATCTTGTCCATTGTGTGACAGTGATAGAGATTCTTTTAAGGCAGAAAACAACCTTTATATATATATATATTTTTTTTTTTGGTTTTTCTCTGGTACCAGGAACTGAACTCACGACCTTGCGCTTGCCAGGCAGGTGCTTTGCCACTGAGCTAAATCCCCAGCCCCTAGAAGACAACCTTTAAAAAACACTTTCTCACACCAGGCATGGTGGTATACACCTGTAATCCCAGCACTTGGGAGGCTGAGGCAGGAGAATCACCATAATTCCAAAGCTAGTCTGGGCTAGACAGTGAGTTCAAGGTAAGCTTGAACTACATAGCAAGACCCCATCTCAACAAACAAACAACCCAACTTTCCCAGTTGTACAAAAGAGTAATTTGGAAGGGAGCATAACCGTTAGCTGTGAGATGGTCTTTGGTTCAGCTCCCAATCTGTCTCTTGCTAGAAAAGTGACTTTCGATAAATTCATTATTCTAAGTCTCTGTTTCTTCATTTGTTATTGAGATAACAGGATTTTCCTCTTAGGATTGTTTTGAGCAACTGCCTCTAAAGCTCTTAGCACAGACCACAGAATCAAGTAGGGAAAAAAGTTAGCTACTGGCACTGTGAACATTCAGGTGCGAAACATGCTTTGTGGAAACTAACTGAAATTGAATGAGTAAGAAACCGCATAACCCTCTAAAACCGCAGAGGCTCATGTTTAAATCAGTGATTAATAAAAAAGATGTCCAATTATGTATGTGTGCTAGGATTGGTTGTAGTTTTTCCTTTTCTTCTGTCTTCAGTTCAAAAATACTGATCTCAAAGAAGTAAACTTCTTAGACTCTGGTTTCAAGCACTTTAGCTCCTCTCTTACCCTATTCCTATGCACACTGGCAAGCACCATGGAGTAACAGGTGGCTTATGATATTTTTAGGTATGTGCATCACAAGTTTAAATAAAACCTTGCTTTAAAGCAAACATTTATTCTATACTTGGCAGACCTATCTACCCTTCACTATAAAATATCTGCATTGAAAGGGTGCAAGTTCATCTGACCCTTTCATCTCTCTTTCTTGCAAACCATGTCATGCCCGAATCGTTTCTACTGTATTTCATATCCAATGACACATACCTGTAAGTAAAGGGAAGAATTAGAGCCATGGGACATCTTTTGCACCATCCCATCTTTTTGTAGGATGCATTCCTCCAAGTGAATCACATTTGGATGTTGGCTCTTGATACTGCTTAGTGCCCAGAACTCACGAAGGGCTAGTTCAACATTTTCAGGTGCGTGGCATCGAATTTTCTTCACTGCAACCCGTGCAGAAGTCTTTCTGATGACGGCTTCATACACAACACCGTAACTACCTCGGCCTACCTCCCGTATTAGATCGTACTTTGGCTGGCTACTCACCATCTTCAAGGTCGAGGTTTCTACAAAAATCAACAAAGTGCTCTTGAAATTAGGTACACCTACTGGCTTGTATTTCTCTTTATGTATAATGTAGTTATCATCTGTCTCACTCTGCAGTGCTTGAAGGATATTTGATGTATCTTGGACAAATCTAATTCTCATAATAATGAAGCTAACAGGTAGTATTTACATATGAGGAACTATTTCAAGCACTTTAAAATACTCATTTAATCCTCACAATAATCTTATGAAGTAGATTTTATTATAGTCATTTTAGAGATGAGGAAATTAAAGTACAGAGAGATTAAATAAAATATGTAAGTCAAAAAGCTAGTTGGGCCGGGCGTGGTGGCACATGCCTGTAATCCCAGCACTGGGGAGGCTGAGGCAGGAGGATCGCTGTGAGTGAGAACAGCCTGGGCTACAAAGTGAGCTCAAAGCCGGCCTGCACTGCCAGACCCTGTCTCAAGGAAAAAAAAAAAAAAAAAAGAAAAGAAAAGAAAAGAAAAGCTAGTTGGACTGGGGATACAGTTTAGCGGCACAGCGCCTGCGAGAGGTCCTGAGTTCGATTCCTGGTACCAAAAAAAAAGCTAGTAACTGGTGGACCTGGGATTTGAACTCAAGCCATCTGGCTCAGACAGCCCAAAATTCAACTACTAGACTATACTTTGCTTCTTATACAAACTGCTTGAAAATGTCACCATTAAAAATAAATCACAAAATTCAGCATTTTAATTTATTGATCCTGAATAAACAAGAAAGCAACCAGCTTCTCTTTAACCTTGACGGAGCCATAAAGTTACAAAAACAAAAAGCCTCACTGAAATACAAACACCTGGCTTACGCTTAAAGACTGAAAGTGAACCAGATCACTTATAGAACTGAAAACATCTAGTTGTTTTTATTACTTAAAAGTGAATAGTCTAAGTGGGGTGTGCTGGTGCACGCCTGTAATGCCAACACTCAGGAGGCTGAGGCAGGAGAACTGCTGTGGGTTCAAGGCCAGCCTGGGCTACTTAGGGAGTTCAAAGCCAGCTTGAACTACACAGGGGGAATTGCCTCCCAAAAAAAATAGCTGAACCACATATGTTCATATTCTAATTGTTATTTTCTTATTGCAAAATAGATAAAAATAAAGTTGGCGGAAAATAACTACTTATTTTTTTAAAAAAGAAGAAACCTTTTTAGAGTATAGCCACTGTATCTTTTGTGGTTTAGCAACAGCTGTTTAGTTCTAGGTCGTTTTTGCCGGACAAGCCATCCTACGCATCAAGGGGCACTCTCTGACGAAGTTATCTGCGACTCCGCTCGCTACATCACGGCGAGCGCGCAGGTCTCACGCAGGCTGCGGCGCCGAGCGGAGAGTCCGACGCGCGCCTCCCCGTCGCCACCGGCCGGAGAGACGCGCGGGGGCGGACAGGGGGCGCACCGGG